TTTAATAAATCAAAGTGGTGATAAGTACTCCACTTGGACTCTGTGAATTGATTTGCCAATTTTTCCCCTTCTGAAGGATCAAAATATTTCGCCACAATGGATCATTGTACTTCAAGAGAATGTTTGACAAGTTGTTTCAGGTAAGTTGCTTCATTTCTGTTCTTCCTGGAATTCAATTCACTTTGCTTAGGTGCCGTTGTGTCCTCTTGGTCAACACAGGTAGACTGGAAACCAGAGTCACCGGATAAGTTTGGTGATATTTCAGAACTTTCAAAATCTGTCGACTCCTTGAAATTGGAAGAACCGAAAAAACAAGGTTAACCATTTGACTACTCTTTCACAACGAAAAGATCTGAGTTGGATTCTCAAACCGAACGTAAAACTAAAATAATAACACTATGTCCCAGGACAAGGGTCAAAAGCTGTTCAGGGCAACTCAAAAGCTGCTGCATCTACAACATCTGTTCAGAAACCTGCTGCTTATCGTCCACCCCATGCTAAAGCAGCTGCTGCAGCTCAGGCAGAGGTATGCTATTTCAAGATCACAAAATGTTCGATAAAAACAGTATGAGCTGCATGAACAGAGAAAAGAAGTTCGAATAACTGGCAAACAAAGACGGAATCTTGAGTGTGTGGAAAACAGATACTCTGTGCATTATAATTATATATATATATATATATATAAATTGGATATATACAGTTAATTATATATATTTAACTGTATATATCCAATTTTTATAAACCTTCAAAAGTGCAGGCAACATCTTTCATACCAATTTCTAAAATGTCAAAATGTGAACTCATACTTGAAGAAAGAGAACATATCTTTTCCACTGATTCACTGAACAACAATAGAATCTATGTTTTGTTGATTACTTAGCTATGGTTTTGAAACTGTCGATTAACTGGATTCAGTCGAGGCAATGATGTTATTCGAGCCAACCCGAGCCGAGTACCTCATGTTCGAACTTGTACTTGTTTAATAAACAAACAAAAGGTTTAGTGCGAGCTCAGCTCGTGTAAGCTTGTGAAAGTGCGGCTCAACTTTCTTAATAAACCCAAAATCCGAAACGAGCTGTTCGTTAACACGAACTGTACTTCTTGGTTGTTTTATTTAAAACCCATAAAAGAAATAGAAAAAGAAGTTCACAAACAACTTTGGCTCGGCTCGTTTAATAAACGAGTTCGATTAGTTTTTCAGTATATTGCCCATTTGCAATGGAGCTGGAAGAGTCATTGTTGACAATTCTCCTGGCATAGTGCTAATAATGGGCTAGATCAAAATGGCTCAATTAAATTCTAGTGCTTCTTCTATTAGTGAAGTTTCTAGAAAAAAAAATATATCAAACGGTGCAATGCACCTTGGGTCGCTACGCAAAACAACCTCCTTGAATAATTACAAGGGTAAGGTCTGCGTACAACTGACCCCCCAGATCCCAACCTGTTGGGAATATATTGGGTATGTTGTTGTTGTTGTTGTTGATTAGTTTTTCAGTCTCAGCTTGTTTAAGTAAACGAATGAGCCGAGCTCGAGCTTTCACAAGTCAAACCAAGCTGTGTTCGTGAATTCGGTTTGAATAACAGCTCTTAGGGCCTTTCATTGGAGCACTTGGTTATGACATAAATTTGTCCATTCTTTCTGCTAGTTTTGATTACATTTATGATGGTATTTTGGGACCAAGATTTAAGATATATAATTGCAATATCTGTTATGTATATTGCACTAACCATTTTCTTATCACAATGCTGATGTGTGAAATTTTCTCATGTGTACAGCTGTTTGGAGTAAACCCTACTGGGTAAGTAAATAATTAGTTTTTTCCCCTTTATTTGAAGCATTGTGGGGTTTGTTGCTGAATCTACTCTGCGTTAATTTCAGAGAAATGAGCAAGAATGCACTGAAAAATAAGAAAAAGAGGGAAAAACAAAGAGAGAAAAAAGCAGCAGAAGCTGCCCCTGGTGCTGGTGAATCTTGATTCTTTTGTCTACCTGAGCAATTTTCAGTGACTTGAGGTAAAATCCCTAGTGCTTTGTATCCTATTTTAGCAGAGGTGATTTGGGTCTGTGCGTTCTGTTATCAATTAAGTATTTCTTATGCAACAAGAGTGAACATGTGTTGAGTTTATGGTTGAGAAACAACCGAACCCAAAGATACTTGTGGAGTAATAATGATGTTACAAACCGAATTGGAGCAAGTAGCTCGAAGTAGGGATTCAGATTTCCGAGTAGTTGACATTGAGTTTTCTGGCAAACTTCATTTTTGGTTTATCGTGGATGACTGTTATTTGCAGATCGTGAATTTAAAACTAAAAACGATTGTAGGGAACTAAAAGTGAGATGAGATTTGTTGGTTATTCTGTCATCTGTACTTATCATGGAACACAGAGACTGTCGGGTGCAACTCGTGAATTTCCTAACTGATGGAAAATCAAGTGAGAAATGTGTAAAAATATGATTAATTTTGAAACTTAATGAATTGCGTTTGATTATACTCTGTAAAATTGCACAAATGGGAGGATGCCTATAGAGTAGACCAAACGATAAATCCATATAATATGCAACGACATGTCGCTTGACAATAGTGCATCAAAATTGAAACATAAGTAACCAGTTTAAGAGAGAGCTTCATAGAACGGTCATTTCATCACAATCTAAGCAACTTTTGTCACTAATTCGTTAACTCAAAAAATGGAGCCTATAAATCTTTTATCACATTAGCAATTTCCTATGCAACTCCAGAATGGTCGCAAAATGATCAGCTAAAATGCAAGATTTTCATGTCTTATAACTGTGAACATCTAGTTCTGATGATGCAAGTACACATTTTGTAAAACAATCATTTAAATAAATAAGAATATCAATTATGACCATATGTCTCACCTAAGATTGCTAATTGTATTGGCTTTGAAATTTTAGTCATTCAAGTTTAACTTATATTCATTGACAAACTCAAAATTTTAATCCAAATTTCCATCCAATAGAAAATTTTCAATCTTCACTCACTTTTGTCAATAAATTAAATTCATTTAAATAAAAAAAAAAAAAAAAAACTTCTAACCGCAGACTTATCTTTTACTGCATAGGCTTCGCAGAAAGTCGAGGCTTTGGTAAAACCATTGCAAAGTTCCATTTCCATTGCAAGTCGCATATGTTTAACAACTAAATATCTAAACATTGTCAACATACTATCCATTTGCACACCTAGCTATAATCAAATCCATATCCAATCACACCTTAAACAATTGTGCAAGGCAGTAATTGTCCAGCAACGGCAACTATATAAATGTCTGATTTAGTTTTAATGAAAACACACACATACACACACAAGAACGACAGAGACCCTTCAAAGCATCGTTAACCAGAATTAAAAAAGATCACTCCATAGACTTATTTCATCTACTATTCTCGTAACGCACCATGGCTAAAAGTATAAAAAAGTCTTTCAATTAGTTCGATTTACAAATTCCTTAGCCTCTAACGCAACGCTATTCATCTCGTGCCATTAAAAACCCACCTAAAAGCACCAATCATTTTGGCTCAACGAGAAATAAACTTCATGAGCCAAAAAACAATTATTTTCGAAACAAGGCAAGAGTTCTCATAACACATCCCGCCCTATTTCTTCTTAAAAATAAAACTACAAGTCAGCTATTATGTGTTACCACAGAGGCCTCATCCCAGTCAACTCTGTGTTACAACAGAGGCCTCGTCCCACAACTTTGTCGAGTTATTTGGAGGAGTTGTTTTAATGGGAGCCCATATATCTGCACCATTGCTGCTCACGACCCCAACAGTTAGTGAAATTGGGACGAGACACAGACCTTTGGCTTTCAGGCTGCACGGTTCTTTCCCCTCCTACAATATAAACACATCAAAAGACTAAACACAGCATTTTGAATTAGATAAGCCATTATTTATTGATAAAAAAAAAATACTAATACCAGTTAAAATACATTTTGCTTTGCTTTTGTATTACACAAGTAAATTCCACAAGGAAACAATCAAGAGGGAGCTATCTGTAAGGTGGACAAAAGACCTTTAAGGGGCCATTAATAATTTTAGAAATAACTGTTCTTTTTTTTATTTTATTTTTTTTTATGATTTTTGGTAAATAGATGAAATATCAAGACTAGTTTTTATTGATATCCAAAAGATTAAAGTAAAACAGAAACAAGAAGAGGCCAGGCTAGCGAGGAGCAGATTCATGTGATTATTTTCCCGAATGTGACATTCCAAGTGAAGTGCATTACGAATGTATTTAGTCATTATTAATGCGTACCTCAGTAGGTGTTGGTGTACTGCATAAGTATGGAGCACTCAATACCTGAATAAATAATGTTGGACCAGTTATTTGAATCAATTATCCTGTGGTAGAGTAACAAGGAGCAGAAGGATTTGTACCTTAACTTGCTCGTGAAGGAAACTTATGTAGTCCATGGCCTCCAGAAGGACTGAAGCTGTATCTGTCTGAAGCAAGTGTAACAGACAAAGTAGACTAATAAGAAACACATTAACCAAATTGTCATTGTATATGTTTTCCGAGGCCGAACATATCAACAACCTTTCCAAATTACAAATACACTACTTATAATGGAACACGTTACACATACCCAGTGACGTTTGAATTTACTCAACTATAGGCCTATATTTGAAGACATAATTAGCAAAATAGTAATAGAACTGTATGGATTAAAGAGCGGCAAACTTTAATGAGAACACAGCTTCAGCCTCACATGAACACGAGAGAGACAATTTTTCAATTTGTCTTTTTNATGTATTATAAGTTTCAGGATTATACCTTTCCATAAGGTGAGACCAGCTGTTGAAGGGCAGAAATCCGTTCACTAATCTTCTCTTTCTTCTCCTGTTCCCCAAGAAAAAAATTAAACTCCATTTGATTAGATGAAAATATGCATAGAAACATCAAGTTCTAATATCCACAAAGGATATAGTGAAAAGTGAAAACAATTTTTAGAGGTGAGAAAACTAACCTTGGATGTTAGAGGTGCATCAGTCTTTAGTCTTTTCGGCATCAAGTCCATAAAGCTGCTTTGATCAGCAGAAACAGGGCTTCTTTTTTGCTGCATCATTTTCTCTTACGTTTTTACCTATCATTTGATTGTAATTGGCGAAAGAGTATGAGTGCTAGCAGCAGAAGAAGGGAATTTGTCAAAGAAAATAAATAAGAAGCAGGCACTTAACCTACACAAAACAGAAAGTATACTCACAAATACAGAAAATTTGAAGAGGAAGTACCAAAAATATCCTGTCCATGCACAATGTAGAGTAGGAGATAAAAGTAAAAATATCCACCATTCTTAAAAACTTTAAATTTACATAATGACAGTGAAGAGATGGTTTATGACCATTTACACGGGGCCATATCATCAAATGAGCTAAACGAAACTAGTTTTTCTTCGAGTAAAAAATTGAGGGAGAGGGCCTTAGGTTGAGGAATAAAACGAGCAAAATGAAAATCAAATAAACAAATATAACAGTTTTATTATTAAATATAGAGAGCTCAAAAACACACCTCATTACGAAAATCTGAAGTAGGTCAGAAGAAGAGCTCTAAACAGATGAGTTTTGAGTTTTGGCAGAGTATTTTGATGCCAATATATAGTAACTGTATCATGAAAACAAATACTGGTGCAATATAATAATATAGTTGTGTTCTGTTCAGCTAGTGAATTAGTGCTAAGTTCTAGAAATCCATATTTAACTACTTGATCATCACTTAATCTATGGGGAAATCTTATTAAATACAAATTCTGACACCTATAATGGTAAAAGGAAACACTACTTTATTAACAAAGGTTCACAAACAGACATACCAAGATGGCCCTAACCAATTTAACTATAATAGCCGCCCTCTACTTAGTCAATACACACACACACACACACAAGAGAGAGAGAGAGAGGGAGAGAGAGAGAGAGAGAGAGAGAGAAGATGCTTGAATTTTATAGTCCTTGACTATTTTCCAAATTTCACAGACAAAGTCCACAAAGGAATCTTCTGGCTCAGTAACAGCATGCAAATCAAGAAAACAAAGAAAAGTAAGTAACCACAAGAATGGTTTCAAGCTCCATAGTCCCCTGAAGCCAATGCTCTATTCACCTTATCAGAAAGCAAAATAAGCAATACACGGCAAACTTAATAAATTAAGACTCCCTAGTTACATTTAATTATTTATTCTCCTTGATACATAAGCATAAGGTTCAATAAACATATTCAATTGTGTTGTGGGCCCATAGTACAAATTGTTAATTGTCTTGAAGCAAGAATACACTCGTTTGGATACGCAACAATCTAATAATGTTTTGAAGCAGCCAATTCAACTTCTATTTAAAAGGGTACAATGTCAAGAGCTGAAACATTCAGTGCTATAAAATACTAAAACAAACAACTATCTGAAAATATGGAGCATTTGAATGTAATAAGAACTTATATACAGTATAATATTACAGAGCAGTTATCCACTAGTCAAAGTTGTGAGACAACACTCAATTAAGGATATATCACATTAATTGTCAAACAGAGCAGTAAAAAATTAGCAACAATTAATTGTTCGCAACAATAAGGGTATGGAGATGGCATCTGGCACAGAAAGAACACAAGAAGAGCATCTCACAAACATGCCAAATTTGTAACGAAATCCACTCCACAAGATAGCACAAAGACGAAGGGGGAAATTCTATTGGAAGGCCTAACTTTTAGTAATTGTATTAATCTAAGGCCTGAATTTTGTACTTTTTTAACAGAAGACTTATATTTTAGGTTATTCTCACTTTAAGACTTACATTTTAGTTAACTTTCCATTATAAGTCCCAACTAACTTTACTTTTTCATATAAATATATAAAACAACTATTATGTGAATAAAAGTATTATTATTATTTTGTAATTTATATTTTGCGTACTTATAAATAAAATTATATTAATAAAAATTAATTTTAACTTTTCTTTTTGGAAGCAAAAGTTGATACTATGTCATTACTTGTTGAAAATGATATATTTTTGTAGATTGCATTTATATATTATTTTTAGCTTTATTACATATTTATATTATAAATAAAAATAATATTTCATATTTTTTAATTCACTTATCATTTTTTTAAATTATTCATGATTAAACTTTTGCATAAATATATTTTATATAGTTTCGCTTTATTATTAAGTAAATATTACTAAAGATATTTATTATAAGTATGTAAAATATAAACTAAATAAAAAATTATTTTTGTTCACATAACTGTATTATAAAATAAAGTTAATTGGTTCACATATTTATATCAAAATATAAAGTTAATTGGGCTTACAATGGAAAGTTAACTAAAAAGTGGGTCTTAAATTGAGAATAACCTAAAATATAGGTCTTCTATTGAAAAAAATAAAATTCAAGCCTTAAATTTGATACAATATAAAAAATTTGAGCCTTCTAATAGAATTTCCCCATGGCGAAATATACAATCTCACTAAAAGTTTGATAAAGCAAATCGCCAGCAAACAAAATAGTAAAATACAAAAAGAATGGAAGTATGAAGAAATAGCATAATACAACAGATGAAGTGAAAGCCATCTCACACTCTACAGCAAAAAAACCCATCAGAATCAATCAGCCAAAACAGTGAAAATATTAATTATAATAATGATAACACCCCATAACATTTATTAACTGGTCTTGAAAACCCACTTCAAGTTCAAGAATCCAATCAGCCAAAACAGTGAAAATAATAATTATAATAATGATAACACCCCATAACAATTGAAAACTTGGTCTTGAAAACCCACTTCAAGTTCAAGAATCCAAAAACGGCAAGAAAAAACTCAACTTTTGCATTAAAACTCAGGACCCACGTTATGACTTGTGAAAATCCTTCAAACAGCCATACGAAACCCAAAATGCAAGAAAAAAACATGGGCCAATCCAAATGAATACTAAAATAAATTAAGAAAAAAAAAATTACCTTTTGCTCCTCCGTTTGTGTCTGTATATCAATTTTGCATTTTTACATGCTTTCATAGACAGACAGTCCTCACACTTCAAGAGACAATAACATTAAGTTGAAACAATGGAAATAGCTGATTAAATGATTTGTTGCAATAATGGGGTGTGAAGAAAGAATGAAAGAAAACAGAGAGAAAAGGCTCAAGGGGGAAAGTGTGAAGGGAGGAGGAGTTGGAGACTTGGAGTTGGAGGTTGTTTTCAAAACACTTTTTTATAGTTATATTTGTGTGAAATGTGATGCCCAAAGATAGTGATGTGGAAAAAAAAAAAGNAGAAGATACAGAAAAAGAAGGGAAGAAAGAAAAATGGATATAGTTTATTTGACAGCTAAGATACAACCATGTGAAGTAAGAAAAAACTGAGAGAAATTGTAATTTTCTTTTGAAATTTTGTCTCACCAGAAAATTAAAAAAATAAGATAAAAGGAAAAAAATTCAATATCATTTAAGTAAGTTTGAATTATAAATGAATATAAGATAAAAGCATAATATTAAAGTTGGTGGAATACAAAAATAATAAAATATTAATTAATAAGACTGGTTAAATATTTGACGAAGAACTCTTGTGAGGGATCATGTCCTTATTCTGATAGCCCATCTCAACAAGCTGGAGGTCCTTGGAGCCAATATTGATAGGGACTCAGGTCGATATTGTGCTCTAGTCGCTGCCCAAGAGTTTTGAGCAGTTCTGCTTGAACTACACATGAACAAGATGTCGCTGTCGGTCGTTGTGCTGCTCGGGAAGCTCTAGGCTGCTGGTAGATTGTTTCGTTAGAATTCGCAGGCACTGATGACCGATAATGCTGGTACCTCAGCCTCTGGGTTGGAAAGATCTAAGAGGAAGAGGAAGCTAGCTGAGAAGGCCAAGGCAGCGTCTGGGCTCGTGGCTTCTTCGGCGGCTGCACAGGGAGGTTCAAAGAAGTCGAAAGACAGATGCCCCCGATGCAAAAAGTCGGGCCACTGGAAAGCCGACTGTGCTCTCCTCAAGAAAGGCAATGGAGGTATATCCTATTCTTTTGTCCTAAAAATATGTTTAGCGGTGATCCACAAGCAACTGGAGTGTAGATACGAGAGCCATTAATCATGTCTGTAATTCATTGTAGGGTTTCAGGAAACCAAGCGGCTTACGGAAGGGGAGATTACTGTCTACATGGGCAACTCCACAAAGACGGTAGCTGTTGTAGTGAGAGACGTTACTTTATGCTTTTATAGGAGTAGATGTTTGGTTTTGAGACATTGCCTTTATGTTCTGTCAGTTTGTTAGAAATTTCATTTCAGTTTCTTAACTTTTTATGAATGGATATTCCTATTCGTTTAATGACAATGTTATTGTTCATTGTGGAAAGCATTTCATTTGTTCTGGTTCATCAGTAGACAATCTTTATGTTCTTAACCCAGACAATCCCACACTACGACAATCGAACTTGAATAACACATTGACTAAATCTAAGAACCTTAAAAAATGAGTCAGGCATATCTCTGGCACCTTAGGTTGGTATCCACTGGACAACTCGGTTCATCACATTATTATTCTGCCGGAATTTAATCCACTTGCAGGGTTTAGCATAACAATCCTTCATGAACTCACTTTCGGGACATCATCAAACCAACGCACATGGTGACCGTAAATATTCTAACAACACATCATACATACAGTAATATTACCCAAGATAGTAGGAATATTAATCCAGTCAACTGAACCTCACCGAAGTGAATCAAAGTAATATGTCTATTGTATACATATGTCTGTTTAATATCTTACGGGTTAAGAGAACGTAGTAATTAACCGAGGCTTAGTTCATTTACAATGATCAGTATAAAACGAATTTCTCCTCTCTGGGATCATGTTCAATACATAAATATACTAGTGCAACTAATCAGTCAAGACCAACTGTACCGTTGACGCTACAATTGTTCTGATGGGGTGTTAATTTTCATCTAGGTTGTGAACCATTAATTCTTCTTTCGCAAGTAACTGATAGAATTATCTTTTGTTCACCTAATGATGACCCATTATATCTAAGTGCAAAACAACAGAACATAGAACTTGTTTAATCGAACATGATTCTCATTCATAAAGAGAAGAAGTGTAATATCATCCAACGCCAAGTTTTCAGTATATAATTCTTCTTCTTCTGGGAGGGGGTTGTAGAAACAGCTCCAGATAGAAACTTGTCTGAAAAATAAAGTAAAATATTAGTTCATGTATAAAGAGGTGGCAAAAAAAAGGGTGTTATTAGTTTGTATACTTAAGTCAAAAGATGAGACTTGTTTAGAGGTCAGTGTATAGTAAAAACATAACTCAGCACCTGACATGAGCTTATCTATGTCATAAGTTTTCATGTCATACGAAATCTTACTCCACTCAGCAATCAGGTTGTCGAATGGGGTGATATTTTTTTTCTTTACTTTTTGACCTCAGATCTCTTCAAGCCACTCCGAGTAAATGTTGAATGTACATTTGACAAAGAAGAACCGAGATTTCAATGCGTGACATTAGAGGGTAGGGCCTTCATGTAATCAACTCGATTACAACCACTGAGGTAGATCGAGCCTGTTTGTTTTCTTAGGCCGTAACTATAGAAGAAAAATTGTTTAGCTAGATCTTAAAGTTTATAACAATTAAAAACTATAAATGCTATTATTATATGAATTGAATTAGGGCAAAGCTGATTTATGGGCATATCATACAATTCACTAAGGGTAAGGAGGTCAGGTCGAATAGAAAAACGAATACCACTAAGAATTTGGTCGACGTATAAGGTGTAAAATCTAGGTGGTGGGAACTACCTAGGGTAGGTGCTTTGAAAACCCAACCTTTAGGGAGCTCGAACATCCTCATGATTTCTTTAATTTCAGGTTCTTCGGCGAAGAAAAAGGGATTAACTCAGATAAGCACTACAACACCAGAAGCACTTCTACGTTAGGGTCGGCAGATTGGTTGGTGCCTACTGTTACACGAGCTGGACGAGGTCTCAGCTCGAAAGCAGAAAAAGGGACTGCCTCGGGTGGTCCATGGGGTAGGCCATAACCTTGTGCATCTACAATTTGTGTTAAAGTATCCCAGGGTATGTCCCTTTCAGGCTCATCTATAAATTTTAAGGTAGACCTTATAGGCTCTGCTCTAATGGGGGCAACAATAATGGCCCGAGATTGGTCGGAGAGGGATCGCTACAGGGTTAGATTGGTCGGAGTGAGAGGAGCTCGCTACAGTGTTAAGGGAATTAGGATGAAAAAAATGGGAAATTAGAAAAACAGGGAAGAAGAAGAACAATAACAAAATAAATGAGGGAAAATGAGAAAAACAGGTAGAGATGTTAAACGGGTTAGCCCTAGCGGGCTTCGGGCTAAACGGTCCAGGCCTAAAAAACTCGGATTTAAATGGGCTATTAAAAAAAGGACATAACCCTAAACCTTGCGGGCTTCGGGCTATACGGGCTATAACAATAATAATAAAAAAAAAAAAAAATTACAACACCTAGTTAACGATTTTTCTCAACGGTTATTTAGTATTTACCACTATATATATACAACTAACTTCATATATGAACACACATTACAAACTCTTAAATAACATATTGTTTCTCAATAGAAAAAAAAAAATATCCGAACTCTTACTTATAACTACCATTTGACTAGTTATTTGGTACGCTTCGAGAATTTTCACAATATAGCATAGTGTTGAATTTATATTCTATCACTATATTCTATGTGTTAGATTTTTGTCTCATTTGTTTTTTATTAGCTGTTCTGATTGGCTTAAATATTTTGCTGTAAAATATAATAAAAATAGTTAATAATTATTTATCAAAATAATAATAATACATTATAACTCATACTTACATGTGAAATAGAATAGCAAAATTGTAATATACGAGGATGAGACATATTATTTACCTTTCCAAAAACATATACACCACCCAGCCCAAGTTAAACGGGCTAGCCCTAGCGGTTTTCGAGCTAGCCCTAACGGGCTTCAGGCTAAACAGTTCGGGCCTAAAAGGCCCGGATTTAAACGGGCTAGCAATAAAAGGCACTAACACTGTTTTTTTCGGGGCTAAACGGTCCGGCCCGTCGGGCCAAAGACCATTTAACATCTCTAAAAACAGGGAAGACGAAGAGCAGTAAAAAAATACTAAAACTACTTACTCATTTTTGAGTGGCCGTGAAAAGAGTAGTTGAAGCAGAGGACGGTCGCTGAAATAGCGTGAGAGAATCATTGGAGATGATAGAAAAATCATCGGAATAGCATGAAGAGTTGCCGGAGATGATAAAAAAGTCACCGGAAATTACAGTGAATTTTAGGGTTTTTAAGAGGAGGCTGAGAATTTAAAGTTGCATAAAATTGAAATGTGAGGAAGAGGCAGGACTTTATTAAAAAAAAAAGTATAGTTGATCTACCATAGACCAAGACAAATTGAAGCGCTCAAATTTTAGCTCTTGGTACGGAATACGAGGGGCTAACAAATGGGACAGGCGAAAAGACAATCGCGACATATGAGGTATGTCTCCATGAGTCCAGTTCGGGTAGGACCTCCTCAAGCTGACAATTATTTCAGATATTATAAAATAAGTCTATTGAGCTCGGAAAACAGTAGCTCATTTTATAATCAGGGGGCTAGATGATATAGCACATGATGTAGCTCGGGTAAACCGACTACAGTCACGAGTTAATCTATTCGAACTAACTCAAGTTAGTTGAACTTAGTCAGCTTGGGTAAGCAGGTCCTAGGTAGCTGTACAATAAGGTATTAGTATCTTAGTAGCTCGAAGAACATAGCATGTCAATAGCACGAATATATGATTGCTCGAACAACATAGTATGTCAGTAGCGGGGACATATGGTAGCTCGAACATATAGTCGCTCAGATAGCATGGTGTCAGTATCTCAATAGGTGGGACAGTGTAACATCTAAGATAGAACGTGGGTAAAACTGCGTTCAGTAGGTCTGGGAACCTATTTGGTATAGGTTGACCTACAGAGACTTAGTCTAGAGAAGGTTGTATGGAAGCTAAGAGTAAGAAGACCTGTGGATAAAGGATAGGGAGACCCGTTGATATGGGAAACGTGTAGAGCTATACGTGAAAGATTTAGATGATCCTACAGATAAAAATAGGTCTAGGGCAGATCTAGGGGTAGCCAAGTGACCGTCGGGTAGGACTTTAGGCAGCCAAGTAGGGCCAAGCTTGTTCAAGAAGTCAAGTATCAATATAAATAGGCAAGAGGTATGAAAGGTAGGGGTTAATGACATTATACACACTCTAAACTTTACAATACCTTTACTTACACTTTACATACAACTTTTCATATTAACTGACTTGATCATATGAGGTTTTACGCCGGGAACACATCCTGGTGTATCTTGCAGGTCTCCGAGGAGCAAATCATATTAAGGACGAAGAAGAGTCGGTTCGAAGTGCGACAACACATCAAGAACCTTGTTATCAAACCGATATTATTTTCTCTTTAAAAATTTTGTACTAGTTATCAAGAAAAAATCTATAAAAAAAAAATAAATATATGATAAATAAAAAATGATACTGTTACTTTTCTAACCATAACGTTTCACAGTATTCTAATATGAGTAATAAATATCACCGATTAAGTTGCTAATTACTGTCTTGAGTTATAATTGATTTTGTTTTTTCGTTATGTTCCGTTATATTTTGCATTAATAAAGAAATTATATTTTTTATTTTATTACCTAATTGGTACTAATAACTAATCACAAAGTCACATTAAATGATATTCTATTCTAAAACTTTTTTCAAACTATTTATTTCTTTTTTCTTTTAAGAAAGTTTATTTTCAATTAAATTAGTTAACTATTTTTTATGGCATAACCAAATTCGAGAAAATTTTATACACAATTATTATATTAATTATTTTAATATTATTTATTTGATTAATTGGTCATAATCAATCAAACTTGCAGAAATTGTACGATTGGGATAAATATAAAGATTAATATATAAATTAAATAGGTTGTATTTATATCGCTTATTTTTACAAACGATGAAATCTATAAATTATGATATATTCATATCTAACTTATGATTTTTAAATATTATATACACATATGCTATACAAAATTTTATTTTGATCACAGGATCAAGTAATGCACTGGATCTAGTCTTGTCTATGTGGCATGTAAATAAACTCAAGTCATGCATGACATGGATAAAATTATGTAAAATTAACAAAATTCACTCCAATGCAAAGAGACTAGGTCTATACTTGGGTCTAAAATAGACTTAAGGGTAGACCCAGTCTTTTTTTCTGACTGTCACGTCAGCAGGACCTAGTCTACTTTTATTTACATTGAAGAATATATTTTTTTAAACAAATTCTATTTCTTTAGATGACATATAATTTTTTGAAATTTAACTCAAAACATTGTGAATGCTAAATGCTCTAATAAGATTTTAAAATTAATGTTGATATATTCGTGGAAACATCAAGAAAACATTAAATATTATAAACTATGCGCATGCGTGTCGAATATCTCTCGTGCAGACATGTTAGAATTAATTACTTTTGTGATATTGGTGAATAATTAGTCAAATAAAGGAGGGCTAAATAATTAAGGGACCAAATCATTGTCAATGCACAAATTTCTCCGTAGAAAACAACCTAACCCAATTTGTGATGATGATACATCTTACCATCTTTCGTTTCATTTTGTTGAAATACTTGCTTATTTATCTGTTACCAAGGAAACATATCACATGATTGATGGCTCTCAACTAAAGGTCCGTAGAAATTTAACCGCACATCATTATGTCTGTAATTTGTTCGAATGGTGTTGTCATTAAGCGCTTTTTGAATCTTTTATCTTCAAACAAACTGATATATGCATCTTGATCCGAATAAAATGAGCGTCACGTAACAAATAAATTTAATTAGTGATTCTAATATGCTTTTAATTTAAAAGCTCTAATGTTGTTATAAAATAAATTTTGACAAATATTAATAAAATAAATAAATTGTGAACCATATAAGAAAAATGTTAAGTTAACAAATATGGAATTTCAACAAAAGACCCGAAAGATGGGCCTAAAAGTTTTTTCAATTTAATGGTGTTATGGGTTTTGTTAATTCCAGGACTTAATTTGATAGTTTTATAACATTTAGGTCACGAATTGAGAAAAAAATCTTTTAGGCCCCAATTTGATAGTTTATCTATCTTTCAGGCCTTGTATTGAAAAAACTCCTTAGCTAGCTAGAGTGTGGAAGAGAATGTAGATGAACTACATTCTTCTCCACATTGTAGACATTAATTATGTCCACATCATCACAACAATTGTGATCACATTGTACATTAGAGGCTGAAAATTTGTGACGTTGCCAAATATGTTGATGTGTAATGTAATTTACCACAACAACATTTGAACATTGGAGATGCTCTAATTTGTTTGGTATGTCATGACAACATAAAACTAAATAAAAGGTTGTCCCTTAAATTTCATTGCTAAATTAATTAGAAATGAATTGGCGACAGCAGTTAATAAAACACACCCGGCCTACTCAATATTCACATTTACACTTGCTTCTGAGTCTCACCAGGCTGAAACACAAACATCATAGGAATAATACCTTTAATTCTACTTGCTAACTCAAACACCAAAGGTTTAAAATATGTGCCAAATTCAGTTGGAGATAAGAAAGCAGAACATTGAAGCTTTTCATTGTAGTAAACAAGTCTAATAGCTCGAGTTCTAACGTCTACCCATTAGACAGGAGTCACTTGCTCTCAACCCTGATAAACAGAGAAATAGAAGAAGAGTTTAGAGACAAGGGCACATATATAGCAGACATTTCGTAAAAGAATTATTGTTTCCATTTAGTATAACCATCACCTGTCTAAAATAATACTCAGCATGTGAAGTAAAAAATATGAACAGACCTGCCTCCTTCTTCGGCATTGTATGACGTAAAATGAACGAGCCACCACATAGCATGGAAGAAGAAAACCAGCCAGCTGAAGAATGGTAATCTGATACTGTAATATAAAACCCAGAATAAATTATTGGCATAATTGAAATAAATACTTCTTAATACATATACATTTGGGCTTCACTTAATCTCAATCTAATACAGATCAAAGATAGTTTATTTAGGTGCTAACGTGTCTATTTCATCTCGCCATTTCTGACATTTAGCAATTGTAGCAGTATTTTGATATTTCTATAATTATTTTTAACAAAAATTAACTTAGCTCTACAAAGGAAATGCCAGTTTCTACTTACATTGAAGAAAACCGATGATTCACGCAACATTCCAAAGTCTCTCGTCAGCATTAGAGTTTGACGTATCAGCAAGAGAAGCATCAACTGTAAACATGAAAATGTATCCAGATTTTTACACATAGATGGGAATACACATTAAAATGCGATACGAAATATATTTTGGTTTGCTTACTATGAGTGCCACTGTACGGAAACAGGTAAGAGTCCCACTATTTGCAAAGGCATAGTCATCATATTCCGATTGCAAAAACTGTCGTTCGGCCGCCGCAAAAGCCAAGAATCGAGGGTCCCGAAGATCAATATGTGGACCCCATGCTTGTCTGAGATATAAGAACAGAAGCCATTCATTTTCATGAATTTATTTTGTCAGGGAAAAAAAAAGAAGAAGAATTACAAAAAGGTCGTGTAATTGAACATAAAAACTCCTACAAATAAATTAATGAAAATAAGAAATTAACAAGAATGTCATCTTGAAAAATAAGAGATGGCTTATCTCATCATCTCACCAGTCCTTAGAACATATTCATGAAAACATTATTATCTTTTAAAATCACTATTGGTGCACAATGGATTACCATTAAAAATTTCATCACAAAACGATTCACGTAAAATAAAACGGAACACGACAAAATGCACCAAGAAAATGAAACAAAGAAAAAGAGTAAGAAACTAACGAAAGGTTTAGGTAAAACTTTTATGCATTCATAAATGGTTGGATCCTAAACATCACCATTACGTCCTAAAACTTCATGTACTAATTCTTTACAAAAGAAAATTGAAGAATCGACTAGTGTGGCTACACAAATCAAAAGGCAAACTAAATGCAATGAACCCTTTCAAGCATGAAAAATATACACACAACATACTCCCCTTTCAAACTAACCAACAAATATATGATAAGTAAAACTAAATAGAATGCATAGATTAATGAAAGATGAAGTGCACTAATAGTTATGCAGGATTAAACTGTAAATTCTAGCAGTTGGAATAAGTATAGATTGGAATTATATAATGATTGTTCACAAAGTGTAACACCTTACTGCAAAAGGTGAAAAACTATCTAAAAATTTACCTAATATCAATAGCCATAACATCAGCATTGCTTCTAGGTGGTGGACTGCTATAATTTGGTGAGAAAACCTGTTTACAAGAGAGAACAAGAATTATAGCAATATCGGGAATTTAAATCATTAAATTGGATACAATTCTTTTTTTACTGGTCTTCTGTTTGAAAGGGTAAAGGCAAACACAAGATTGTGACCTGATTGCAGATTTCACAGGTGATATCGCCTTTTTTGTTGCACCATCTCTGAATACACTTCCTATGAGCAAACTACATTACACAACCAAAGGAGTTCAAAACTAAATCAGTTTGGAGATTCTACAAATAACTTACCAAAACATATGAGCAAGGGTTTTTCTAAAAATAGAAAAATTAGGAATGCTACTGTTGGGTTGCCTAACTTTAGGCAAATCATACTTTCTCCCCAAAATTTGATACATACACTATTAAATGTCATATTTTTATTTCTATATAGTTTAAAGTATGACATTCAAATATGGAAGTATGTACATTTGCTGAAATAGTATGGCTGCCTAACTGTTATATAAAAGATATATTATTGATGTTAATCAATATACCTATTCTTTCCCAGTATAAATGAATTCAATTGATTAGAGAGTCAAATGGTTTTATTGAAGTTCCGTAATTAAAATTTATAAAAAAAAAAAAAATAATTTTCTTAATCAGTGTGAAACTTTGAGACATATAATGAAGACTGCGTAGTAAACAAGTCCTAAGGCTAAATTTATCACTTTGACTAAACTAAAAGAAAGAATCGGCTGCTTACCCAACTTTTTCTACAATTGAATGATTGTATTAGCAGCAAAATGAAATTTGTTCAGTNCAAGCAAAAATACGAATCATATAAAAGTTGAAAAATACAAATACCACGGGACTTATATAAATACATTCATTAATATTCTCGTGCCAAAAGAAGGAATAAAAAATTCAAATGACAGGAGATTAATACATATAGGCAAGGAATCCTAGAGAGGTTATTAAATTAAATGACAACGGCCGATAATTCAAAACCGTAAATAATTTTAAAATTAATGATTGAACACAAGAAAAGCCCAAGTCAATTCAAACTAAAATTGTACAACCAAATCCAATTGCAGAGTTTATCACAACCACAAAATGGAGGAAACAAAGAAAAAAAAAACGAATCATATCTCATTAGAAACCGAAGAAAGGAAAGCCAAAGTTGTGAAATGAAAAGCAAACACAAAAGGGCTCTGAACCCAAAAGTCCCAAACGAGAGAAAACCAAAAAGAAAGGATTTTTTCTCCACCAACAAAAAGCACAACAGTCATAAAATTAGTAGGCAAAAAACTAAGAACTACATTTCAAAAAAATGGATTTTGGGAAAAATGAAATTAAAATTGAAAAAGAAAAAAAGTGTAAACCTTGAGAGTGCCATTACAAGAACAAGGGGCCTCCATGTCCTTCTCCTCATCTTCCTCCTGACAAATTCTGCACTCCCTCAAGCTCAAACCTTTTTCCTTCACAAAAGAAAACGAAGGCCCTTCACCCTCACTACGAAAAATCCCATCTTTATTACCACTTGTATCACCATTTCCTCGGACAACACCAACAGCAACAATAGCTTCTTCTCCCCCAACGCCATTAGTAGAAGATGATGTTGTCGATGATTCTTGAAAACATGCTGCAGATGCTATGATTTTGTCCACACACACCATGAATTCGTCCACTACCATTCTTGATTTTTGACCCTTTCTCTCTCTCTGAAGACCGGAAAAATAAAAATGGAGTCTTTTCTTTGGCTTGATGGATGTGAGAAAATGTTATGTACTGTATATAGATAAATATACTATTGGGAGAGAGAGAAAAGGGAGTTAAAGAAAAAGGTCGGGTTTTGCGGGGTGCGGGGTATAGTGGCATGCGTGGATATGTGAAAAGACGAGAATGACCTTAGTGTGTGTATATGTGATGTGAGAGTACACACAATGTTTTGGGTCTGTTTTTGTATATGTGTCATATAATTGGACTTGATTCTTAAATGACGTGGACAAACCTAAGTAAAAAAACTCAATAACTATGCAATGCAAAAATAAAAATACTAGGTCTAGCATACATGTCAACCAATAAAAATAATCTAATATGTTTTTTTTATTAAAAGAAAAATTAAAGTAGGAATAAATGATAAGTGTTTGGATTTGTACTTGGGTCCAAAATAGACCAAAGTGTGGATTTAGTCTCTTTTCTTTATTGCCACATAAATTAGACCATGTTCACTTTTAATTACATTAGAAAATATTTTTTTTATAGATTAGGTCTATTTCTTGCATGCCATGTGATTTTTTTAAGAGAGCCAAAACATTGTGGGTGGATGTTATGAGCGACTTTCTTTTCTACTCGAAGGAAAATATCTCGTATTTGAGCGGTAACTGTTGCAGCATTAATTGCCGTCTGCTGCCTTTTTTTTTACTTTTTTACTTCTGTTTTTTCTTTTTTTTTTTTAATTTAATGCGAGCAAATAAACAACCAACAAATGTCCAAAGGTGCTCATTGAAGAGTGAAATTTGAATCATTTTGTTTGTGGCTACCAACTTCTGTACCTTTTTTGCCTTGGGCTTGCCAATTTTATTTATTTTTTTCCTTTTCTTTTCAACTAATAAAGTGCACGTACATCGCACGTGATGATGAATGTTTTTTCCGATCAAATTTAGTAAAATCAATAAATTAATTTATTAATTATATCATTGCAGGAACAAAGTAAAATATAGAATAAATGAACTTCTAATGTTTTTTTTTTAAATAACATAATAATGTCCTCATATAAAAAGAATGCAATAACATATTACAATCTCAACAAAAATATAGTCCATAATGAAAAAAAACACAAAATAACTAAATACAGACCTAATGTATATTATAGATGCATTAGTTATTTTACTTAATTCATTTGGCCAAACGTCTATTTTATTCAAACACTTATAAGTATTCTGACCAAACATATAATCAAACTTCATGATTGTATGATCTTTATAAAGTATTTCTACTAAAAGTTCATGAATAACTTTGTAAAATAATCAATCGTATCATTAAATTGTTGATTTTTTTTTTTTTTATCATTGTATAAACTACTTCATTACTATGTCAATATAGACAAATTGGTACCTACCCCATGGAGGCATTGCCCTACGGGATGAGAATGAATTTCATCTCCAAATAAAAATTGACTTCCAAAATCTTAGTTACATGTACTTATCTCGAGACGCTAAATTAATTTTTGAAATCATCACATTACATGAAAGTATGTATTGTAAAGTATATGCACATATATTCGAGCAAAATACACAAAATAATTCCTATAAAAATGGGACAATTTCATTCAAACATTCAAGAATGTTTTGATCATTTTTTTTCAATATTATTTATTTGGAAGACAAACGAACTATATAATCTATTGTTTGCAAATCATTTTAGCGTTGTTTATCATAATATCTTTCACATTCTCTCGAATTTGCAGTACTTATGTGCCTACTATCTTCTTTAATGCTTTTATTGTCTAATTTTTTTGCATCATACATAATAATTCGAAAATTCAAGATAAATATCATTTCTTGGGCAAAGAAAAAAAGAAACATTGATACAATATTAAGAAGCATATCATTTGTAATATTTGAAAAGAGAAGAATTAGAATTCTATTATATTATGATCCTCGGCTAAGTCTATTATATTATGATACTCTTAGTCGTTGTATGAACTTTATTATTACAAAGTTATTATTAAATTTTATATTATGTATTGCAAAGTTTTTATTTTTTAATTATTTAAAAATCTTGATAATATAGGATCATTATTTATGAGAAGTAATTTCTTACAGTGTTCATATATTTAGACGCTAGCAAAAAAAATAGTAATTTTAAAAGACTTTTATTTCTAGATATTGGTATCATATTTCTCTCAGAAAATTCAACCTTTTTCTTTTCCCATTGAATTACTATCGCTTTATATATTTCTTATTCTATTCACAAATAACATTTATTTGTTAAAAGGATTAGAGCACATTTATACGTATTGCGTCATTTTTTTGTACATACTTTATATAATGATATTATATTCAAAATATCTTATTTATTAGGCTACAACTAATATAATCAAATATGATAAATACTATTTAATATTACTTATTTATCTGTTTTTAATAATAATATATTTGACAAAAATGTACTTTTACACTGGTTATAAGATAAAAAAGTTTAGAAATTTTTTTATTGAATAATTCGTATTAATTGAAAATATACGTTATATGTTACACCATTATGGTGTTCTTTAATGTACTAACTGAATAATTGTTTAAAATACAACTCATTTATTTATCCTTTTAATTCGCATAGTTAATGTTGGTAATAGTTGTAAGTTTACATCCATTTTGTACATTTTTCTTATTTGTATGAATATTTCAAATCTATGTAAGTAAAATATAGCACAAATTTATCTTATGTTTTTTTCATACTTAATAAAATTTGTTTAACATGAATTTGTAATTTATTTTATAAGATACTTTTAGGTACATTTATTATTCTAAATTAGTATTGATATATATATATATATATATATATATATATATGTATATAATTCTATATCGATAGAACTAAGTATATTTATTTTATTTTATTTACACAATGGTCAAATTAAACATCATTGGAAAGAAATGATGTGATATATACGTATAAAATGGGTAACAAATAAATAAAAATTAAGTATTTTATAATTAAAAATTTTAACGGTAGTCAGTATTTAAATTTGTAACTAAAAAAATTAAGACTAACATACTAATTTTTTAATGCAAAAACATATATACTTTTTATGTACTTAAAAGTCTAGCTAAAATAAATGTTCATCTTGAATATGTTTATATTTTTCATTAGCCAGCTCCAACTGATATAGGACATTAATTAATTTTATCATTTTTTTACTCATGAATTGAATGCGAGCTATATGTTTTCTCATTGTCTAGTCTTACATTTTTATTACGCATAACATCATTCTTACCCCTTGTTTAGTTACTATAATAGTAATAATATAATTAAGACTTTTCAACCTAGATCTTGTTTGGTTTGAAAAAAATACTAATTATCATAAATTAAATGAAAATTACATTAAATGTGTTATATTTTCAATCATTATCAACAATTTTCATAATAATTAGTTGCACGCAATATTACATATAATGTAATTTTTTTACTGATTTAGAGCCCTACTTTTACTACAAGAAAAATGATGAAATTTCGACGAAAATATATTACAGTAGAATTTCAACGATAATCTAACGAATATTTCAATGTTATTACCTCCTTTTGAATTTTTCGGTGAAAAGTTTCTGACAAAAATATTTTGTTGGAATCATAGGTTGATCCATGTTTATAGGCCCCACATAGGCTCTCATACCAAAACATCTAGGATAAGGTATCTAACTACAATTGTGGGAATATTTTTCATAATTTTAATCATGTCCACTCCTTTGATGATAAAATTAAAAGAAAGAAAATACATAATGAATTAATTTACAACTCAACCAATTATAAATTAATTCAGTTCATAACTTTATTAAAATTATAACATACACGCGGTATCATTACTAAAGAAAATATGATAAAATATCAAAATTATCTCTCTTGTTTTGTTTTTTTTGTTTTTTTTTCAACATAATGTTTTCTCTAACTTCAAAACATACTTTTTTATATATTTTTTAACTAACGTATGTGGAATTCTAGCTATATGTTCACAATTTATAAATTCATCAATAATATAGTCGAGTTGAGTAAACTAACTACAATATAAATTTTTTGTTCATAAAAATTTTTAAAAATATATTATTTTCAATGATTTTCTTATGTTGAATTGAAAAATATTATGCTTTTTTCTTAAATATTTTTTAACTTATTATGACTGTATTTTTGTGTTAGAACTTAAAAAATATATTGCCCGTGAGAAAGATGACAAATTATGAAAATTTTATAATTTTTAAATTGTACTGACATTATGTTATTTTGATGATATCTTTTTCCTATTAACTAACTATTCTCTCAATATGAAATTATTTTGGATATGCCACTGCAATTAGTTTTTCAATGAAACTTACATTGATTTTATTTTTACAATTTCCAATTACAGTTTTGTCAAGGATTGAAATACGATCCGAGAAAAAAAAATTAACGGAAATTCACACAACAATAATTAATGATAATTAGAATCATTAAATCATTAAACTCAAATATAATTTAATTTGATATTTGTTGGAATAGTCAATAAAAATTTCTAATGAAAGTTATACCACTGAAATTTTCGTTGGAATTTTGAGCGGAATATCTGCCTTCAGGTTTTTTATTGCAATATAGCAATTTTTTTTTTGTATTCCTTCTTAAAATAAGAATTTTTATGTAGTAGTAAGTAATAATATTTAAAATATCATGATATATTTTAGTTAATTATTGAATGAAAAAGTTTATATATTTTAAGTATTAATAATTAAAATATTATTCACCTTGATATTTGAATGGTCAGGTGAAGATTCATTAACTTTATTTACTTTGTGACCAAAATAAATAAAAAAAATAAACAAACGACGATTTTTCTAGGATCAAAATCAAATCCAATAAAATAAAGGTTCAATTTCTATATTAATTCTAAATAAAAGAGTTTATTTTCTTAAATAATAAAATAGTTAAATGAATTGTTCACTTTTCTAGTTTGTTAGATTATGTATATATATCACGGTATATGATTTCAGTAAAATTTTAGGTATCTTCTCTTAATTAATATTAAGTATATATCTTTAGAATTATTTATTAACTAAAAATATAAAATCTGATGGTTATCAGTATATTACTAATTTACCATTAAAAATAAGTCAAAATAAGGGATTTTTAGGTAGTTCATATATTTACAAAATCACTCGTTGTTTTATAATAATATATATATAACATATAGATAGATTATTTTTATTCGCAATTTATAAAAACCATAACTCAATTAATATTTTGCTAGTCAAATCTTCTTAAATTCCTCATGTTATTTTCTCGTTTATAATGACATAATTTTGTATATTTTCTTCACTCGATCTATCTATAGTTATAGTTATTTGAACGATTTTTTTCTCGTTGAATACTACTTTTATTTTTTGTTTTGCTAATAAGCATATGGTACTCAATCTCATTTAACATAAAATTTCAATAATTTAGCTTTATAGTTTAAAACATTAAAAAATAAATCTTTTGGTGAATTATAATTGATTTTTCACTTATGGAATGTACAGTTTTAAAATATGTATATTGAAAAGATTGTTTTGGGCTAAAAGCACTTTTGATGTTCAGTATATTGCGATTGCGATTGTGCAAAATAATGTAAAGTGAATCACAGAAGATGAATAATGTTAAATTTAAAACTAAAAACTTAAATATCATCTCAAAATCACGATATATAGATGTATATAATTATTTCAATCACCAATAATGATACTAAAATAATTAATTAATATGTATTTTAAAATCAAAGTTACTATATATTATGACAAATAAAATAAATACACACTAAATTTTAGTTTGTCAAAACTTGTTATTGAATCATAATTTTTTAATAATATATTATTTCATATAAGATAAGTTAGTTATGTATTGTCTTATTTTTAATTTAAATTTTATTTTATATCTTTACATTAAGTCAGTATGAGCATTTGAATCTAATTTATAGGGTTCATAATTATAGTCTCATGTATCTTTTGAGCTTGCTATTCAGGAAAAAATCTCTATTAAAAAAATGATATGTTTTATAATTTTAGTTTACAGTTATGCTCATTAACCTTTAATTTTGATGTTCATTAGCTCTTTCTATTTTGGCATTTCCTTTTGACATTTTTTAGCGGCTACCACTGGGATAAATGGGTTATTTTATATCATATGTTCACTTTGATAAAACATAAATTATTATAGAACAAAATGAATAATTTATAATACTTTTTCTTTGAATATCGTGATTAGAGTCCAAAATTTATAAATTTTCAATGGGATTGAGTTTTTCTTTTCAATTCAACTATTTAATTTGATTACAATTTTACCATTAAAAATATATCATATACAAGGACCTTTTAGTCCGTTCAAAAAAATTTTACAAAATCACTCGTCCTTTTATAATAGTATAGTATAGATAGATAGATAGATAGATAATTTGGTTTTATTCTAGTAATTTTTATTAGATAACCCTTTCTTAGAAAATGTGAACTAAAAGTCGGTCTAAGAGCATGATGTTTATAAATTTTTCTCAAAAAAATTGAATTCAAACTCAAATTTAACTCAACATCCACTATTATCAATATTATTAAATAATTTCAAATCATCCTACAAATCAAATCAACTTTAAATTACTATTCATCCACTCACATAATTTTAACTACCTATCACTTCCAATCACTTTTCTCATACTTTAACATCAAATCAGTTTTAGTCATTTAATTTTATATATTGTTTTATATAAATTCAAAATATCACTCAAACTTAACACAACCAACTTTTCTAAAATTAATTATGGTTAACAATCAAACCAAAAAAAAAAAAAATGTTACCAAATCAATAGTTATATAATTCAACATGACTTACATCAAAGTTTATACCAAATCATATTATGTACAACATTTGACACAGACACGCATGTACCTAAATTGACATGATATCCTACCCTTTGGAAATTACTAAAATAAAGAAGGACAATGAGGTAACTTCAATTGAAAGGCACCTAACCCAGATAGGAATTCGGACGAGTGGGTTGAGCTGACAAGAATGGTTAGGATAATTTGGTATGGTTTGTATGTATACATGTGGCTCTCGTGTATTTACATAATATATAACATGTATTATTTTATATAGCATATCATTTGTGACTTTGTCAACCTTGTGTTGGAGAGAGGAATAGGATAAGATATATGGCGATTGGCGGTCTTATTTTATCATGAATAGTTGAAGTAAGACTTTGATTAAGACTATGATTGAGTAGAAAAAGAATGTGGGGAAGAGTTCTCAGACGATATCTAGTATTTGAGCTTAATGTTGATGATTGTGCAGCTACAAAAGTCAACTAATCACTATCATTTTGTTGATAAAGGGCTTCACTACTTTAGAGATAATGTCAATACATTAATATTAATACGCACTGCGAAAAATTACTGTCACTAATAATAAAATATTGTGATAAAAATTTAAATGGAACAACTTATACTGGGAAATTCCAATAGAAAACACTACTAAAATATTATGTTAGAAATTAAAATTATCTTGAAATTTATGGAGTTTATTAGTTGGAATACTTGTCAGCTGTATTTATCGTGGCTAAGGGTGATGTGCAGTTACACCTCGAACCGGGTGCAAAATTGATGAGCTCTATAAGGCAGCCCAATCCATGAATTATCCACGAACTAAAGTACGAACTTNACAGTGAATCGAGAATGTTATAAAATATCACCAAGAATAAGATAACATTCCTGCATGACTACACTTAAATACTACAAAATTACATATAGCGAAGAAAAAACAGACAGAAAAGGTAGCTGCAACTTCAACATTTGCTGTTCCAGAACAAGGGGAAAAGGGTGTTATAAACCAGAACTAATTCGTAGCTGCAACTTCAACATTTTCTGTTTCAAACCCTTTGCTCGAAACCTCCAAAAATTCCGGAGCTTTTGGAATGAGACCAAGCAGCTTGAACATCATCTGATCTGCATCATAGTCATTGTTAGGGGTCGTCAGTAGCTTCTCACCAGTGAAAATCGAATTTGCACCAGCAAGAAAGCAAAGCGCCTGCTCGGGCATGGAAAAACGAACTCTGCCAGCCGAAAGCCTGACCATAGCTTTCGGCATTATAATACGAGCTGTAGCAATCATTCTGATCATCTCCCATATTTCAACAGGCTGCAAGATAGAAGCATTACGAAAAGTTGTTGTGGAACACCCATAACTGACAGCATACACCTTGTTTTTGTAGTACTTCAGTTCAAGAATGGGAATTATTATTATTATTATTATATAATGGACAAAGTTCATGAATGGAACTAACTATGCTATTGTTGCTCGTGAGAGTAGGAAAAATGGTCTTGGGCTGCATTTTATATTGACCCATTCGAATACTAAGAAACTCAAATTAAATGACATATAAATTGAGCATTTTTTGAAAAGCCCGTGAAAAGATGGATTTTTCAATTCCTTAAGCTCATATATTGAGCTATTATTTGAGAGTGGTGGATTTGAAAACGGTCTTAAATGGAATCATTTGAAAATTCTCTTCTCAGCCTAAATCCTTCAGTTCAAAAGTAAGGTTCAAGGTCTCAATTATTTGTACTATTCTGTACAGTTCATTGGAGGACAATGTAAATCTGGATTTCTGTTCTCTTCAATGGATGGGATCCTCATTCTTCCTCTGTCAGGAGAGAAACACTATATGTTGTAAAAAAAGTTACGAATGTCGCATATAAGCTTCCCTAGTTATAGATGTACCAACTTTTTCCTACTCTCTTTTCCTCAAGTAGAATAAGTAAATATGAGATGCTTCTCGTGGAACATGTTTAATATTTGCTGATCTCTACATGAATACCTTTTGATCTTCGAGGGGTGTGCCTTTTACCGCAACAAGTGCATTAATAGGTACACTCTCAGGGTGTGTAGGGAGTGTTGACAGTGTATGTAACAATCCAACTCTATCATCTTCTGCTTCACCCAGCCCAATTATTCCTCCTGATTACAGGAAATTGGATGTTACAGATGAGACAAATTTAATGTTTTTCGTACATTGTGAAGGAGGTGTAAATCTCCCTTGGGATGATGAGTGGGTATGTGAAGAAAAGCTCTGTTTGTAAAGTGATTTATTGAAGCAAAATTAAAATTAATTGAGAAATGTTAAGTAGGCATTGTATACTCAAAGAAATGAAAAGCCGAAGAAAATGAAACTTTAATTATTGTGGAAAAAGAAGTAGTGTGTTGTTCATAGAAAAACAACAACTGTTTCTGTACAGCGAGTCATTTATAAAGGATGCAAACAGCATTTTGGGTTTACCTAATAGAGAAAAGAACACGCATGTCAAAATGAACTTCCCTTTATTTAAAACAATGCCAAAAGCACTTCTACAAAATCCCCCAACCACTATAAATTTCAATTTAATCGAAAATAGAAGCAAAACCAAAGTTGAAATTTGCAGAAAACTAAAATCAATTTGCTTTTCTTCAAGAAGTTTGTAAACACTTCCTAAATGTAATTGAATGCAAACATTTCTCATACTATGAAACCAACACATAAGCAAATAAACACAATATGAGAAAAATTACGTGCACATATGCACGCAGAGAATGAACAAGTATTAATCAGATTACCTGAACAAACATTTATGCCCGCTTCACGAACATGCTCAAGGGTCTGCAAGCGTTCATCATAGGTTCTCGTTGTTATAATGTTAGGATAATACTCTCTAGATGTGTCAAGATTATGGTTGTAGGCTGTAAGGCCAGCCTTTTTTAGCTCTATAGCTTGCTGTTTCTCTATCATACCTAATGTGCAGCAGACCTCCATCCCCATACCCCTTTATCAAATAAAGTTTGTGCAAAAGTAAGGAATGTTTGGTCACCATAAAAATCACAACTGAACAAAATGATTAAGAGAAACAATCAAACACTACCTAATTTCTTTTACATATTCAAGAATCTGGTTGAAATTGGTCTTTCTTCCTATGGTATCTCTCCATGCAGCACCCATACAGAATCGAGTGCTGCCTGCCTCTTTTGCCTGTTCATATACAAATAGATTTGAATCATGCAACAAGCTGAGTATCTGGAACAATAACTCATAACGATAACAATTACTGCCCTTGAAGTTCAAATTACTGACAAAAGAATCCCAGATTAACCTCTCAAACTTCAAATTAGCCCCCTAGTATTTGCTTACAATTTACTTGCCAGTAATTTGTTAAGCAAAAGAAAATCTGAAGGCTGTATTCCTGGAATGCCATAGGAAATGGAATCTCGTTTCTTGTTTGTTTAATAAAGCTGAGCCTTGAGGGTAGTTTCGGCAGTGGTTCTTAATGCTAATGCACATGTATAAAAGATCACCAACTAAAGGTAGAATAAAGAAGATCACAGACAAAAGTAAGTTCAATAAGAAAACCACGAGTTCTACTCCATCATCCAACAATCGGTTTGTCCCCAATAGGGATGTGATGACCAATTTGGCTGTCTAAGGAGATTTTAAATGAAACCCCATACTAAATAAATACCAACACATAATGAGCTTCAGAAGAAGAACCTTACACACAGCCGCTAAACTGATGAAGTTAATCTGTTCTTACCATGAGCAGAAAATACTAAGCCACGACTCGTGCAGATAATTTTTTTAATTGCGTACCAACAGATAATTTCACCTTTTTTGCAGCCTCAAGGACAGCATCTTCACTCATAAGCTTTTGTGCTTTAAGTCCAGTATTGTATCTGGAAGACTGAGGGCAGTAGGAACAATCTTCACTGCATCCACCTGTTTTAATAGATAACAGAGTACATTGCTGCACTTCTCTGAAATTATGTGCATGTCTATGAACTTGAGCCTGCACAAGCATCATCCTTGCATGAGAACAGATTGAGCGCTTGCAAAAGAAGACTCATTGGAAAAACATAAAATGGGACATTTTAGAATCAAAAGTATATGTGAGAGGAATTAGATGTCAGCAAAAAGAGACGTTTTGATGGGCTGTTCTTACATAAAAAATTATTCTTTCTTCAGTTAAATTGGGTGTCATCGTTTGAATTGTAAGAGGAAATAAATGAACGACCCTCACTCGAGCAGGATCTCTACTTGCAGAAAAACTCATCACGACGGGAATCACTGTGACCATTTAAAATCATTACCTAACCCGTCAAAGCAGAGGAAAGCAGAGGAAATGTACGTTCTCGAACATTTATACAAACGGCAAAGCACAATGTACACCTATCTCAAGCACAAAAAACACATCTGCCTACCCTTATTCTGTCTCAAAATTTTAAATAAGAGAATAAGATGTAGGTAACATTTACCGCATGGAAGAGGAGATCGAGAATAGGAGAATCGTAGATGGATTTGATTTCCTGTCTGGCCCAATCATTCCTCGGCCCTTCTTTTATGGTCCTCTCCGCCTCCACCGCCGCCGCCGACGAGGAAAAATTTGCCGCCGCGTTCAGGTGCAGCTGGAGCAGAGGTCGCCTAATCGATCTGATTATACACATCATTTTTCCCTTCAATTAGTAGTGTTCTTTCTGGGGAGAGAGGAACAAACTAAGCAGATATGGTGAAGCAAGTGAAGTGTGAGGCGCCTCTCGAGTTCACTGCTGTCCTCGGTGAGTCCGCACTCCGCAGCTTGTATCCATGTATAACTGGTGGGCTCCCTATTTATTGCTCCCTCTCTTGTCTACCCTTTCTTTTTTTTTACAAAGAAGGAGGCCATAAACCTAGGTGTTAGATACGAGTTCGATGAGAATATGAAACCCCAATGATATCATGCTGGAGTCAGAGTCGAAAGCACATGAAGGCCTATCGAATAGGAAGACGCTAAGCTCGCCAAGTGATCGGCCGCAAAGTTAGCCTCTCTATGTATGTGTCGAATGCAAACAAATCATTCCTTTTGTATCATTTGGCGAACGGCCATGACTAAGGCTTCATGAGCCCCAAAATCCCTACTGTTCCCTTTTATCATCTGTAACACACATTGGCTATCAACTTCCACAACGACTTTTGCGAAATCCTTTCGTCCATGCAAGATGCAGGCCCTGAAAAAGGCCCCACATTTCTGCTCCGGTTATGGTGCAAAAGCTGATATGCATAATAAACCCCATAGACCATCTACCCATCTCATCTCGAAGGAGCCCACCCGCACTTCCAAGCCCAGAAGCCTTGTCAAATGCGCCATCAGTATTGACTTTAATCCACCCGGGATTCGGCGGGGACCAATAAATTAAGCATGTCTCGAAACGATCCATTTCAGCCCCTATTTTAGCGAATATCTGTGAAGAGTGAGTGTAGGACCGCAAGCGGTGCAACACCTCCATTTCAGCCCCTATTTTATTGGTCCCCTCTCTTGTCTTTCTAGCTTAAAATAACAAAATTACGTCTTTGAAGGAAGTGAGGAGCATTAAAAATAAACAACCATGAAGTGAAACTACATAATTTTAGGATTTGAGGAGTACTTATCCTACCAATTAGTTTATGGTTATCTAAAACAACAATTAATAAGTAAAAAGATTTACACACTTGAACGACATTTATTTTAAAACTGAGGGAGTATTAATCTTTCGCTGTCTGACGACAAATGTAAATGAAAGGTGATATGTGGCCACTCATGACCTAAAAAGCGGTTTGACAAGACCGTGTGGACCGACAGGTCGATCGAATATAAAGAACACAAGAGGTAGAAGAATCACTCTGGTGACTCTAAGGGAGCCAAGCTAGGGCTTTCGGCTAGCTTAATAGAAACTCGACCTGGAAGGTAGGAGGTCGATAGCACGACCTAAGAGATAAACTTAGGTCAAAGCAACTCGGTTCAAGAGAAGTTGAGTTGTCGTAATGAGGTAGTCTAATGTGAACACAACATATAAGAGATAAAAATGATTATTATTAGTATAAGAACTCCACGTGGATAGGAGCACGTGGTCTAGCAGAATCGGTCAGTTTGAGAACCCGGACGTACGATAGGGTAGCTCGGGCAACCGGGAAGGCCAGTCGGGAAGTCTTGGGACACAAGATAGCATACCTATATAAAGAGGTGAGTTATGATCGTTCACACTCTACACACTATTATTTACTTACAAGCTATACAATTTTTACTGTTCATTTTCTTCCTCATATATATACTGACTTGATCGTTGGAGTCTCTACGCCGCGACCACTCTCAACATTGTTTTGTGGGTCTCTGAATCGGTTAAGAGCGGATCCAAGGCTGTTTGAGCCGGTCGAGGTCGTTTGCACATCAAAAGGGAATCATTGTTCCTAACAATACATAAACCCCATATTTTATCTCATTATTCAAAACTGCATTCTTACTAATACAACCGATAACCATTTACTTCGCAATCCTATTTTTCTTTTCTTTTTACAAATTCTTGGGTGAGACAGTTTAACTTTTAGATGGATCGACCCGCTATACGCTGTAAACAAAAAATATATATTTATGCTATCAAACGTCATACTTTATTGTACTTTTGATTATATTATTTTTAAAGTATATCATTATCTAATTAAAGTATACATATTTGTAAAAAGAGTGATATATTCTAATTTTGGTTGAGATGACTCCCGCGTTGTTTGTCGTGAGGGCAAGGGAAACCACAGTGTCGATCGCGAAGCTCCCGCAGTGTCTCCCATGACAACGATGGAGATAGCAATGTTGATCGCGACTAGATATAACATTGGTAGATATGACTCTCGCAGTGTCTGTCGTGAAACCTCCCTCGATGCCTTCCATGAGTTTGAGGGAGACAACTGTGTCAGTTGAAGACTCACAGAATGTATGAGATCGGGATACTGCGGGCCCCATTATATATTTATGATATATATATATATATACACACATATATATATATATATATGTATATATAAGTAGGATCAAATGAGAATGAATGACAATAAAAGAGAATGGATAGCGGTCGTATGCCGCAGGTATATGACATGATTGATGTTGCGTGTGTTGGTGTATATACTGAAAATTGGCTTTGGATGTTATTTTTACTATTTCTATTGAATGAGAATCGTGTTTGATTAAACAAGTTTTATATTTTGTTGTTTTGTACTTAGATAAAATGGTTCATTAGGGATGGACAGAAGATCATTTTATCAGTCACTTGCGAAACAAGAATGATTGATTCACAACCTAGATGGAAATAAACAAGCCATCGGAACGGTTGTAGTGTCAATCTTACAATTGATCTTGAATGATTAGTTGCACTAGTACATTTTATGTATTGAACAAGATCCCAGAGAGGAGCAGTTCATTTTATATTGATGGTCGTAAATCAACTAGGCCTCAGTTAATTACTGCGTCCTTTTAACCAGTAAGATATAAACAGGCATGTGCACGCAGTAGCTATTACTTTGATTCACCAAAAGCGAGATTCATTCTGTTGGGTCAATAATCTTCGTATTTTGGGTAATAGTGTTGCGTGTATGATGTGCTGTTAGAATATTTACGGTCACATGTGCGTTAGTTTAATGATGTCCTCGAAATAAGCTCATGAAGGATTATTATGTTAAACCTGCAGGTGGATTAAGTTCCGACATAATAATAAAGATTTGAGTGGTACTAGTTTCAGTTCAAGATGTTGATTAATTCTTGTTTGTCAATAATTGAATTAATTGATGGACACTATATCTTAAACATTGGGAGGTAATTTGGATAATTATTATTGGAGTCTCGAATATAATTCGCGGATGATAAGGGAGTGCAATAATATTTTGTTAGTGGACCGAAACATTGTTAAGTTATTCAGCAGAGTAGACTTGGCCCACAGTTTGACCCAAGACTTAAGAAGCCCCACATCATCACCTCCTTAGGGTCTCTATTATAGCCTTACAAATACACCATTTAAACTCTCGGGATTGGACACACTGATAACCGCACGCATACACGCGATCGGCCGACCCTAGTTCCCATCGAGCTTTATCTCCGAGACTTGTTGCTCCACCGAGATAACCGGAGAGGTCTCGGGTCATATTGCAGAAGTCCTCGAGGTAACATTAGCTGATAAGTCAATTGAAGTAAAAATTTCAACTTACTTTTTTGAAAACCTACCCTATAAGTGAGTTTTGTGCTTTTTGGCTGAAAAGCTAGCCGATATAATAAAATATTTGGTAAAATTACCTGATAAGTGATAAGTCAATCCAAATAAAATTATCAACAGATTTTGGGAAAGCTACTTGAAGATGCTTTGGGATACACTCCAACTTTTTAAACTATGAGATAAGATGCTTACCAAACATATTAGTATAAATTACTATATATAATATAAAATTAGATACCAACTTTTTAAGCTATTAAAAATTTTATTTAGTAGTTTTTTTCATTAATTGAGTGTATTACAATTTGAATTTTATTATTGACCTAAGGCATTTTATTTAGTAAAACTTGTTATTATTATTCTTTTTTTGATTTATGAAAAAAATAATTCCATGTATTCTAAATTAAAATTAGATGACAATAAATAATGCCTTGAAAAAAAAAAAATAGTTTTTATACCAATTTGGTTGTCCTTATTGAAGACTTCTTTCTTTAAATTTTATATTAGATAAAAATGATTATAAAATAGGAAACTTCTTATAACTCGTGGTATTGATATATATTTATGATTAATTCACATTCCTCAACACGGCCATGTGTTTAACTTAATAATTTTAAAATACTGTATTCATATATAACTAGTACATTACCCGTGCGATGCACGGGGCTTTATTATTTCTGGCATTTTTAAAAGACAAATTTGTATTCAAATTCAAATTATATAATAGAGCAACGACCATGATAGTAATTAAACCTAATAAATACTTAAAATAGGATATGTGTAATTATTTATATTAATCATTTCGGACTTATAAAATAGGAACTCATTTGACAATTGTGGGCTTTCACATAATTTTTAAACATTGAGTTGGCCAAAATCTAGACCATTTAAAATAAAAACAAAGTCAATGGCATTTACAATGTTGGCTTTGAAAGTTCATATCGGCTTAAACAAAACAGAAAAAATAATCCAAAGATCCAGATTAGTCAATGCAAATCGACAACTTAGATTACACTTAACATCGTAAAATAGCGAAATTATCGGACCTATTTCTTCCTTCATTTTTCGCTGCTTCCAGCTTCTTCTTTCGTCTTTTTTCATCAATCTTCTTCCAACTTTTGTGATTTTAACACTGAGGGTTTTAGACATACATCTTTTTTTTCCATTGAATCGATGCTTTAAATTAGTTGTTTTAGGTATTTTGCACAAAAGAAAAAAAAAAGTTTGAGGTCCATTCTGCTGGATCAATAGTTAAGAATCATCTGATACTATAGCGTGTTATCATACATGAGAAACAACATATTATGCAATATCTACTTCTTAGTGAGAAATATATGTGGAAAACAACATATAAAAAAATTTAGATTATTTATTAGATAAAAATTGTTCTTACTTTTTAGTTACATAAATATGGAAATGAATCAATTTGTTTAACTGTGGTAATTATGCAATTTCTACTTCTTAGTGAGAAATATACATGAGAAACACCATATTAAAATTTGAAATAAAACTCTCAGTTAGTATATAAACAATCAATGAATTTTATGATAGAAGATTTTAATCGTGAATTTTATGATAGAAGAAGGTATTATCTAAAAATATTAGGTTTGATCAAAATATCAATTACCAATTTAAAACATTAGTATGGTAAAAAATTTCTAATTACAATTTGTAAATATTATAATAGAAGATATTATTACATTGCATTTGAATTTTAAAAAAAAAAATCAATTAACCGATTTACGATTGTTAATGAACAAAATATAATGGAAAGAATTCGAACATTGAAAAATTTTATCTATTGCATTCGTAGGATTTTCAAAAAATAAAAAATAAATCAAATAAAATTACCGCGCTAAGAAACTTAAAAATTTTAAGTTGAAATTTAGTTTCTACTGTAGTTTGTCTTTTAAATATTGATAGATTAACCGATTTATAAAATACAAAAAATTTTATATTATTGATCTGATGAGTCTCCACAACCAAGCAATAACATCTAAAGACAATGATATATAATAAAAGTTAATTATATACATTGTCATAAGATATAAAATACAAAATAATATATAAACCATATTTAATATAATATCAACAAAATAATCAATATATTATTAAAAAAAATAAATTGAATAGTGCATACCAAACAACATCGATTCATCAACAATATCATATCAATCTCCTACAACCAAAACCATAAAAAAGCACCATTGTACTTCTTCTTAGGCTTCTGAGGCTGCCCGTAAGACCCCTGTGGCGGGTAACCCCCGTACCCATACCCACCGCCCAGGGTCTCTTCCTCCCATTCCCGCTCCAAATGGCTTGAAAAACAAAGTCAAGCAACAATTGTTCAATTTCCAATATCGAAACACACAAATTCTAAAACATAGACACAATGAACGAAATAACGAAAACATAAAATAGAGCAATATTTAAATATTATATAACCCTCCTACACAATATACTGGTATGTATTCAAAACCATTATAATGTATATCCAAATCTCAACTTCTTGAATGATTTCATTCCATCAAAGGACATCTACTCACAATAATCAATTTTTTTTAGAATTATCAGCACCATGAATTTTCACCAGTTGAATATTCAAAACGACTTACTAAACTCGCTTTAAGGCCAGCAAGAGCAGCCTCCAAACGCTTGCAGCAGTCAAGAACCATCATCCTTGATTGAACCAACACATTTTCGTGAAAAATATACATGAAGACAGAAGTTTTACCATTCAAATAAAGAAAAAGCAATGCATATATCAGATAACTCCAAGAAATAGCTCCCCATGGACTTGAAAACCATCCAATTACATCTCTAGAAAATAGTTGTAGAATATAAGACAAAAAGTTAAAGAATGAACACAGTTTCATTTGATCAAGCAGCCCGAAAATTACATCAATATACTAAGTACATTCGTGTTACCTCAATTTGATTTACAAGATAGCTTCCATTAAAAGCTCCTCCCAACAGTAATTTCTGGACATTTAATAACCTTAACCATCCGCATAGGTAGTCGCGTCCTTGACAACCGATGCATCTCCCTAACCATCAAGCCTCCGAACAACCGACAACCCGTCACATGCAACTGAATTATGGGTGTGAACACCGCCAGCCGGTTATGAGACAGCTGAAACAATAATTCTGTTAAAATCCACAGTAGTAATTTAAAGAAAAAAATACTGCTGAACTAAAACTAATATACCAATCACCTAGGGCTTAAAGATATTGGCATCTATCTTGTCCCCACTGTGTCTAAGTGATAATAAATTTCATTTATTTACTTTGGCCCATGAAAAAAACTTTATGAAGCCTTTGACCTTGACACTGCAAATTCAACGGCACACTGAAGATCTTGTGGTGTATCCATATTGTTGCTCCATCACCCAACTTAGCTCTAATGCAGTCTCATATGATTCTGTAACATAATCCTACAATTATAAGGCTTATGATGTTTTAAAATTATTTAAAAAAAAAAACTGATAATTAAAATAGAAAGTAATTAGTTTTAAAGAATTACAAATCTATTGAATGAAAGCATGTTGTACCTCGAGCTTGGACATTTGTTCATGAGCAGTTGGGGCAGATAAAATGATGTGATAGGCAGAATCTTTCCATGGGTGTGAATACCGCTAGCCGCCGCTTATTTTTCCAGTCCATGCAGAATCTCTCCCAAGCACTGCTTGAGCTATGAACATGACACACCCCTTCTTCATCTGCAGCAACGAACGGGCTCATGCAGCAACGAACGGGCTCATGACGGGAGATATATACAGTTCGCCGGAAAACTATTTATGTGTCGTATATTGTTAGAATCTAGTTTTGATAGATGGGCGGACAGTAGATGGAGCAAATGCAACTAAAAGGAGATGAAATTATTTGATCATCCTATTTTGAGGACATGTTCTCAACAACAGCTCTCGGATGTCTCAATTATTCAACAAAACATGAGCATGAGTTATATAATACATAACATACATCATCCAGAACAAAAAGTCTCCAGCATAACTCAAATTCGGATAAGCAATATAGCTGGTTGTTTTGGTACAAAAATGTGAAAGAAAGAGAAAGATTTAACCTGTTCAGGCACGGAGCATACTGATAAACATCTGCCCATATAGAACCAGTCCCGTAAAAGACAGAATATCCAGCAATGACCAAAAGCTTCGATTGAGAGCAACAACACTAATATCCAAAACCCAACTTCGCCCTTATCGGTTAAGGTCCTAACCACAATTGCCCCTTCATAATAGCTAAATTACCAGTTAAAACACATATACATGCTAAGAAGCCCTTACTATTTACCAAGTTCATAACCATAACCAAGAATTGAACAATAATCGCAACCAACCCGATACAATGTAACAGAACTTTCTCAAATCCCAAATCCAAAAATACAGAAACATTGACATTTGTAAGGTTACTATCCCAAAATCCAAAAATATTGGCATTTGTAAGGTTACCTGAAATGGGATAAAGGCCATGACAGATTCTCCAGTTTCACCATGAATCATCGAGTCGCCCCTTTTTCGCACCAAAACTCTTCAACCAATTTATGCCTAAACCCATCCTTATTTACATCCTGCACGAACAATATCGACGCAATTTTTTTACCATATCCACAAGGACCATAGAAACACGCACAAAGCACAGACAAAATGCATAAAAATTAAGGCACGTGAAGAGAAAGAATGAATATTTACGTAGGATACAATGATAGATCCAAACATCCATTCAAGAGGAAAGCAGAAATACAGGAAGAAGACGATGGGGGGCCCGACCCGCCTTCAAGTGGAACCGAGCTATGATGTGTTCGCAGAAAACCTTCAAAACCAATACTTATAGAAATGTTTCGTTTTATAAACTTATGCATTTGTAAATACAATAATATCAAGTGCTTAAGCAAAAAGGGGTAAAGAAAAGGAAGAAAACAGAGTAAGACTTTCTAAGAGTCTAGAAATCAGCAGAAGCCAAGAAAAAAAAAAATCATATTTAATAAATCTAAATAAACATAATATTTTACAAAATATTGACTAAAATTTTTGAAAGCCAACAGAAAGGTTAGATCAAAGGTGAGGTTGGTTAGTAATATCACCCCAGAAAGGGACTGAAAAAGATACTGAAAAATTTAAGGCCCCAATCCAAGACATGGAAGTAAAGAAGAAAACTAACTGATTAAACAAATTGCATTTGGTATGGCTTATGTTTACTTTATTCAAATATTATTATAAGTAAAAAGGGCTTATTTGCTATTTATTTTTTTAACAATCACATTACAGACATTATAAGATATACCTCTCGGTGCATGAGAGCCTTGGGAATGACTCTGCATCAGGGGACAATAAAATGACAAAAGAATATAAAAATATTTTTTTAGTGAATAGTTCAAGTAAATTAAGAAATACTAATTAACAACATACAAAGCATACTTTTTTTATTTTTTATTTTATCTTTTCTAAAATAATAATCAAAAAGGACAAAGAAAAAAGAGAGAGCTTACCCAATAACATGGCGACCACCATTATGAACATCTTGTAAAATCAAACCCATCAAGCCCATGCTGCCTCCTCCATATACCAAATCAATAGTTTTAGAAATCTTCATGAAAACATCAGAAAAAAAAAAAGATAGAAAAAATTTAATATTTAAGTCCAGCAACCCAAGCAAAATGAACCTACTTCAGCCCCAGCGCCGCCAGCACCGACCTCAGCTCATCCACCGTGATGAACTTGCCCCGTCTCGATCCAAAACCCTAAACGCCTCCCGCACTTCCTCTTCAATGTCGTCCCCCTCGTTGCCTCCCTCGTCTGCCATCACCACCGCATACGCAGAGAAAATTGTAATAGTAAAACTGTAATATCTCACATTTAATTTGTCATCTGATGATGGCCACAAGGTGCAGAGAAAAGGGATATCTATTTTACGGAGGATGACTTGAATCTTTTCACTCCTGGAAAAAGAAAAGAAAAAACGCCAACAGATTTTAATCAACAACAGGAGATCAAACAAAAAGAAAACAAAGAAGACCCCAAAACCTCAGAACGTGAGTTATACGGGTTACAATTATACGGCAAGGGTAGCTTGCGGAACTTCTCGGTGCCCAGATGCAGCGCAATTACCTTGCCCGCTTTCTCTGTGAACCAGTGCAGGGCCCCGTTTAACAATGTGGGTGCACTCGAGTTCCACAGGCACAGGCGGGACGGGCACTTCTCCTCTATCCTCTTCCAAATGTTAGATCTTAGGCTTTAGATGTAAGTCCGATACACGAATTTCTTTTCGTTACAGATACTAACCACTTTGTAGTCATCCCCGTGGGCGTCAATCATCCCGATCATCGCCTGCAGCGTCTCCTCCAGCACGCAGACCCCAAGATTTTCTAGCGACTCACTGAGCTCCTCCCGACTGATGTTGTCGTCGACGTTCATCGAGTATGCAGAAGACACTATGGAGATCCGTCGTGCCCCTGACCTAATTGGATTTGATTGGGTTTGATTTCGATGAGGTGAATGAAAAAGGGTATCAATGACTATCCTTTTATATACTGTACATGTTTATCTCTACCGAAATTGTGGGAGGATATTGTTAGTATATAACTAAAAGATAAGAATCTGTTAAATAAGGATAAAACCTTTTTAAACGGAGTATTCATAACTAATAGAGATAAATAAGGAGATTTTGATAAGATTAATTCGAAATTAGCCTACAATTAGGCCACAAATTGCTCACGTCTATCCGTACAAAAAAAATTGAATTCCACGTTTGAAAGGGGATTGCCAAATTTGGTAAGTCAATGAGGTTGACTTCGTTTTTTTTAAAACTTTCCCAAAAAGATTTATTGACCTCTCTTTTTCAATATATATAGATAAATTATGCATAGGTTTACTTTTGATTATAGGATTATAAACATGCATTACAAACATAATAAGATATGCATATAATTTAATGTTCACGTAATTTAATATGTAAATAATATGTACATTCAAATTATAATAAACTCAACATAACCCCATTATATCTCACTAGTACGGTGCCTGTGCGATGCACGGGAGCATTTATTATATATATATTTTTTTAACAATATTTTTGTATTTAAATTGTCTCATGCCAATAAAAATTTCATGAAAATAAAATTTATATGTTATTAAACACTTTCTTATGTACAACATTATTGATTTGATTCTTTGGCACGTAAAGTACTACATAGGTGTTCGAATTTATCCAAAATTGCATATTATTAGTTATTAGTTCACAAATTTTTAAAAAATTAAAGGATCTTATTTATTGAACAAAATTAAAGTAGAAAAAAAAGTAAATTTTTTTTTATGGATTTTCATCCATTATTTATTTTAAATCTAATTCTAAATTTCAATTAAGGAAAATTGAAAAGAATCATTACTTAGTCCCAGAAATGAAACGATTTTCTTATCAATAAACCAATTTTTTTATCAAACAAATTGATCCGATTTTTTTCTAAACCAAATAAGAAAAATCATCAATTTTTCCTAAAAATGGAACCAAATTTTCCTAACATTGCACTAATTTTTGTACCACAACAAATGGAATTGAAAATAATTCTAATAAAAAATTAAAATAAATTGTTAATGTTTATGCAACTGTCTCTTTCCTACAGAAAATTATATGAACTTAACCAAAAAAAAAAAAAATGATATGAACTTACCAAAATCTCGGTAGAACATGGTTGTGAAAAAACATAAGAATCCAAAAAAATCGATGCATTTAAATTTGGAAAAGTTGCACATAATTTATCCTAAATAATTGGATAAGGTGACTTTAAATATCAATGATGAACCGCTTTTGTTACCAGAAATGTGGACACAATTTTGAATGTACATCCCGTCCAAATATCAGTTTTATTTTAAAATAAAAATTGCATGTGGCTTTATCCAATTTACACAATTTTTTTGAAAGAAAAAATTATTCAATAAGATTGGAAAAATTGGTTAAGAATTATACAACTATTTGCTTCCTAAATTTGCATCCAATTTCCACGGTTTTTATATTAATTTGTATTTAGAATTGTTTTCAAAAATAATTGACACATTTTTTGCATAAGAATCTCCAAATTTGTTACCAAAGAAGATATGATTTAAATTTTAGTAAAAAAATAAAATATGATACGAAAAATATGGGATTCAAATTTTGCTATAAGAATCTCCAAATTTGTTACCAAAAAAATAGGAATTGGGATTACTAAAGATTCACATGTGTTTTTTTGAACTTTCTATTAATAGTAAATCAAACATTATATTTATTTGGTCAAACTTTCTATTATGTATTTTTCCAACAATCTCTTTATATATATATAGATATAGATATAGATTATGCATATAAACACAATATTTAGAGTCCTCCTAGTATTATCAAAGTACACATAATTAACCCTGTCGAATTGGCTACGAGAAAAGTCGCATAAACAAAAGCGAGCAAACATTTCATTAGCGTATCCAATATCTATCTAACAACCTCTCAATTTCACCTAGATGTTGTATATAGTACACAGACACACTAATCACATTACATTACTCATGCATGTAGATTCATCAACCCTTTCGCAAACTCGTCGATATTCCTATCCGAACTCCCTCCACGACCCATTGCCTCTCGAGCGACCTCTCTCCATCTACCCGCATTCGACCTAATCACCCTCCCTTCATCCCCTTCCATCACACGTCTCACACAACTCACGATCTCTCCTTTTTTCACAATTCCGAACTCGTCCTTCCTAGCCCTCATCCCCAACGCCCACACATCCGTCACGAGCTTCGCGTTCGTGCTCTGGTCTGTCCACTGCGGCATCGCCACCATCGGAACCCCCGAGCACAGCCCCTCCAGAGTCGAGTTCCATCCGCAGTGCGTCACAAAACACCCAGTGGCCGGGTGCGCCAGCACTTCCACTTGTGGGGCCCACGGCACCACGAGCCCTTTACCTGACACGTCGTCGTGCGTGAAGTTTGGCGGGAGCATTGGCTGTTCTGATGAGCGGACGACCCAGAGGAAGTGTTTGCCGCATGCGGCCAGGGCCCACGCGAGCTCCTCGGTTTGTTGGGGAGTTAGCTCTGCCAGGCTTCCGAACGAGACGTAGACGACGGATTTGGGATGTTGTCGGTTGAGCCAGTCGATGGAAGTGATTGATGGTGGGCCGAGAATGTTTAGGTTGTGGTGTTTGTCGTTGTCCAACTGTTTGTCAAGGTACGTGGATGGTATTGTCGGCCCGATTGCTTTGCCTCGCCAAAATCTTGACATCCATTCGAGTACCTTGAAATATTACACAAGTTATCATGAAGTTTAAGTGCAAAACCAAATTTTGTAGTTCGGCTATGGTTTCGTTAAACGTACGATTAAAGGGAAATGTTACATTGCAATCTAATGTACAACTAGATTGACGACACAAGTGAAAACATCCACTTGTGTATTTTTTTTATTTTTAGATATTTTCACTTGTGTTGTCAACCTAGTTGTACACTAGGTTGACAATGTATCATTTTCCACTAAAACTCATTAGGCTAGTATTTATGTCCCACAATGTTTAGCACTTTCTACTCTTAATCATTGGGAATGATTGTTGTTTGTGAAATGTAAAGAAGAACGACTGAAAGAAGCAAATTAAGTCGAGGCCCGTAAAAATACACCCTCCTTAAGACAAAATTCCCCTGTAAATTACCTAGAGTTTAAGGCTAATGCTTGGGAGATACGACTTTGGACTCATGTATAGTAGTAATTCAAATGCACAAGCCTTTGTGAAAATAACAACGAACTTTGTGAAACAAACATTCATGATTCAAGTTAAACAATGCAAAGAACTCTTTATGATTCAAGTTAATAACAACGAAATAACATTCATGGGGGAATTTATAGATATATATTTAGGAAAATCACCAGGCATTTGATCATGTGTCTAAAAGTAACTTTAGGTTCATAAAAAGACATCCAAACTATGTTGGAAACTTTTAGCACCAGCAAGTGCGTCCAGATCGCGCGCGAAGTGCTTGCACGAGTAGTAATAAGAACAAGAAAAATCCGAGGTCCATATAATATTATTACAATTAAATCTAGAATTTATAGAGTACCTGATAAAACATCCCATCGAGGAGTACCTGCTGTCTGCTAATAAAGCAGAAATCTAATTCCCATAAATTTAAAAATTGAAACAAAAGCAATAATTAATGATTATCAATTCATAATTAAACACACTCAACTTACCTCTTTTTCCAACTGGTCAAAAGTGTTGATAAATATCCACTCTGCCTTCTCCAAACCCCGAAACTGGTTCAGCAACAAACGAAACGTACCCGGATACGACCCGTAGTCGTACACAAAAGACGGCAAATCCTCCGATCTCATCTCCGGCAACCCGGGAGCCGCCGCCACCACCGCCTCTCCATCAACAGGCAGCTTCAATTCCCCCTTATACACCAAGTAATAAATAGCGTCCACAGTGCACGACTGTGTGAAAAAAGCCGCCCCAAACAGCCCCAGTCCCTTGGCCACGTCAACGGCCCACGGGATGAACGAGTCGTACACCACGCAGTCCACGGGTCGACCCGTACCCGCCAGATCCAGCAATAGACCCGTCAGAGTTTCCCGTCCGACGCATTCGAATCGTGCCTGGTACTCCTCCGAGCTCTTTGCCTCGGCCCGGCCTCCGGAGTCGAAGCCGTCGGAGATTTCACGGGCCGAGATGGGCCCGAAGGAAGGCCCGTTTGTGGATTTTGTTAGGAGGAATTTGGTGAGGGCGATGGTGACCCGGATGCCCTTATGGGTTAACCGATTTGCGAATTGGAGCATGGGGTTCACGTGGCCTTGGGTTGGGTACGGAATGATTAAGCAGTGGGCTTTGTTCTTTCCCTTGTCGTCATCCATGGTCGTCAGTTTGAGATTTGGAAAATGATAGACTTGGTTTATGGCTATTGTCAATTTTTGGTAATTAATTAATTTTTGGAATGTTGACGCTGGTCAAAAATAAAATTGGCTATATTTAATTAATTACACAATCGATCACGTGCAAGCTAGAAATGATTTGACGTGACTCGAACAAAATATCCAAGCTCGGTTTGTGGTTACCTTTTACACAGGATTAGGGGTGACCGTAAAAAACTGTCAATCTGGATCGCGGATCGGTTAAATGGTCAGTTAAAAAGCCTTAAAAAATTCGATGGTTAATTTTTTTAAAAATCCGAAAGAACCGGTCCGGTTAACGGATTACCTGCGGCAAACCGCCGGTTTAACCGGACCGGACCGGTAAATATTAAAAAATTATAACAAATATATATATACATTCAGTCATTCACTATAACCAACAAATACAATACATTCACTATGAATGCTTTGCTCTTATTATTTCAGGTGTATAAACTGACTGAAAAATAAATGTTTGCTTGAGTTCAGTTTGCATAATTAATCTTCATCATTTTTGTATTTTTATGTTTATGGGAGGAAATGTGCATTTTTATGCTTATGAGACGAATTGTGTACTTTTTATTTCATTATTGCTGTTTTTCTTAATTTTTAAGCCCAAATAATCTCTTTAGGACCCAAAATTGAAAAAAAAAAAAAATTAAGCCCAAAATAAAAAAAATAAAAATTGAAGGCCCAAAACAAGTTTTGGATTTAACCGGTTAACCGCCAAACCGGACCGTCCAATGCGGTCCGGATTGTGGTCGGTTAAAAAATAAAACCGATCCGGTTATGGATAAGAAAAAAAATTAACCGTTAGATTCGATTTGGTCATGATTTGGGCTAAAACCGGCCCAATCCGGACCGTGAACGCCCCTACACAGGATGCATATATGGGTTTACAGTATGTGATTTATCCTACACTTGAGAATGTCACTCATACGAGTGCGGAGTGGCATCGACTAGATTGCTTAATATGATATATAT